GGGGTTTGATGTACCATTTCTTGAAGGCAAATTATTATAAGAGAAACAACCACAAAAATATTTTAAATAAAATATTTCCAAAACCTTTTCTTCTGGAAAAGTTAGAAAAGTAGAGAGACTAACAGAGTCAACCCCCAACGTTCCTCTGTTCCCTGCATTTTATGTGCGGTGTCCTTGTAGCCCCATACTCCAGGGGTGCCCGAGGGAAGCTTCTCTTTGCTGGAGAGCTCGTGCATTACTGCTTGTTTAATGTTTCCTGAACATTACCTGCCAGAAATCGAGATGCACACACCTGTGTGTCTCCCTATGTTGGTGGTTCCTCTCTGCAGCTTATGTAGAAATCCCAGCAGCATAGAGTTTGTTGGCCTGGATGTACCGGGAAGCTGTCAAGTGTGTATTTGGTGGGTCCTAGCACTTCCATATGGCTATTTTCTTTCCTGGTTGCATAATAGGGGTGTGTGTGTGTGTGTGCGTGCGTGCGTGCGTGTGTGTGTGTGTGGTGAAGCAGGGAGAGCAGCTCTGCACTCCTTCCCGTCTTCTCTTGCAGAGCCCTGGGAGCTGTCGTCGCCCTCCTGCTCTGGGGGCAGCTTTTCGCAGTGGACACCGGCAACGAGAGCACAGACAGTGCAGGTAGGTCTTTGGTTTGGGCAGGAGCTGTTGTGTCCGACCCCACCAGGGCTGCACCCTCTCTTCAGGAAGACCCAGATCCCCTCTTCTCATCCTAATCTCCGGTCTCTTAATACTACGAAGAACACGGGGGAACCAGCCGGAAATAAGGAAAGATTGCCCACCCCTTGGCTTCCGTCTGGGGTGGAGGGAGGTTGACACGCAGAGCATCTTCCTCTCATCTGACTTCTCACGGGTGTCTGGGAGCAATCTGTATTAACCACCTCTTCCTGTTTTCCTTTGCAGATGGCAGCTGCCCAAAGCCCCCCAAGATTGCAAATGGCCGCGTGGAACACTCAGTTCGTTATCAGTGTGAGAACTACTACAGACTACGCACTGAAGGAGACGGTGAGACCTGGACAAGTGTCCCTGGGTCCTCCCTTCCTGGCATTTCCATGATGAATGGAGTAAGGGGTAACCCCCTAGGAAATTCACGTGTTATCTTTGGAGCCAGGAGACGCAGATTCTATTAAGGGTTTTGTTACTAGTGCCGTGGCCTTTTGGGCAAATTAACCTTGCTCAGCCTCGTTTTGCCTTTGTTAAGGGGAGGTGATTGGTATCCCACCCATCTCAGAGAGAGACCTACATCTACAAAGGACGTGGCAAAAGAATAAACGATGGTGATGGCGAGGACTCGGGCGGTCCTGACCCCAGTGAGGGCTGTGTTCCTGGCACTGTTCTAAGTGCTTTACATTTATTTGCCCACTTAGTCCTCACAACACCCCTCTACAGAGATACTGTTATGACAGAGGTATTATTATTATTTGCTGCTGAGGAAACTGAGGCATAGAAGGGTGAGATCAGGTAGCCTCTAAGAGGCAGAGCCAGGAGTTGGACCCTGATCCCCACCCTGCACGCCTCACCCTCATCTCCATGACCACAGTCCTGCCCTGCTGGGCTCCGCTCCGTTGGTGCCCAGCATCTGGCTTCCGGTACGCGCTCCCCCTTCCTCCCAGCCCTGTTCCCCTCATCGCCCTTCTCCTTCTCGTCAGATCCCTTCTCCCCCCACGCTAGGCCCAGGTTCCGTTTCTCTTTGGCTCACTTCTCCCCTCCTGTTCCAGGCGTGTACACCTTAAACAGCGAGGGGAAGTGGACGAGCAAGGCCACTGGGGAGCGGCTTCCTGAATGTGAAGCAGGTAGGACGCCGAGGGCCCTGGGAGCAGACAAGGGCAGGCGCTGAGGGTCCAGTGCTTGGGCAGGCACCTGGGTCAGAATGCCCTAGAGGCACGCGCCCCTCCTGGGGGCTCCTACTGAGCGTACAAAGCCAGGACGGGGCCCAGGGAGCACCACAAAGGGCTGGCGGAGAACCGAGCAGCTAGGTGGTGAGGCCCTGAGACAGTTCCCCGAGTTCGTGTTTATTCAGGCCTGCAGGGCCCTGACGGGACCCGCCCCCGGGCGTCAGGGGACCCTCTGTGTGCAGGCAACTTGCCCAGGGAGCCCAGGGTTCCAGGGTAAAGCCAGTCCCAGGAAGAACTCAGGGGAGGTCATAACTCAACCTTAATCCCCAGAAGTATGACAGAAGGAAGGCTGCAGATGGATGAGCGCTTCTGCTTCTTGTTATCAGGAAGGGCGACTGCTCTCTCCTCCCTCTTGGAACAAGCAGGTTTGGCCTACCCTCTTCTCTGTTAGTGGTGTGGCACTGCCCACCTGCCGTGCAGACTGCACTACCTATAAAATCTGAGTTCTGGCCAATGCTGCTATAGATCCCTTCAGAGAGAATGGGTTAGCATAGCTCCTGGCTGTTACGATGAATTTCAAAAAATTGTGGTCATGCCCTTGCTGTAATAAACTGTTTAATACACATACAGTTCATCAGTCAGGGTTTCCAAATCTCAGGGTTTCCAAATCTCAGGGTGAGCTAGGAAAGCAGGAAATAGAACTCTGCCTTAGTGATGGAAACAACTGATGGTAAACATTGGAAATGAGAGGACAGATGGTAAAGCAAAGATGTAAATATTATTGGCTCTGAAGAAAAGAACCATGATAATTTAGGCATCGATGATAGCCAAAGCTTTTACCCCCTTCCTCCCCCAGCTAGCAGACTGGGAGATTCTGTTTCTGTTCATGATTTCCTTGCCCTCCTTGACAGTGTGTGGAAAGCCCAAGAATCCAGTGGACCAGGTCCAACGGATCCTGGGTGGATCGGTGGATGCCAAAAACAGCTTTCCCTGGCAGGCGAAGATGATTTCGCACCATAATCTCACCTCGGGGGCCACACTCATCAGTGAACAATGGTTGTTGACCACAGCTAAAAATCTCTTCCTGGGTCATACGGACGATGCAAAAGCAAAAGACATTGCCCCCACTTTAAGACTCTATGTGGGGAAAAATCAGCCTGTGGAGGTTGAGAAGGTGATTCTCCACCCTAACTACCTCCAGCTTGACATCGGGCTCATTAAACTCAAACAGAAGGTTCCCGTTGGTGAGAAAGTAATGCCCATTTGCCTACCTTCAAAAGATTATGTGGAAGTGAATCGTATGGGTTATGTGTCTGGCTGGGGACGGAATTCCAACTTCAATTTTACTGAGCTACTGAAGTACGTCATGTTGCCTGTGGCTAAGCAGGACAGCTGTGTGCTCCACTATGAAAAGAGCACAGTGCCCGAAAAGAAGGAACCAAAGAGCCCCGTAGGGGTGCAGCCCATTCTGAATGAACACACCTTCTGTGCTGGGCTGTCCAAGTACCAGGAAGACACCTGCTACGGTGATGCCGGCAGCGCCTTTGCCATTCACGACACGGATGACGACACCTGGTACGCGGCTGGGATCCTGAGCTTTGATAAGAGCTGCGGGGTGGCCGAGTACGGTGTGTACGTGAGGGTGCACTCCATCCTGGACTGGGTTCAGAAAACCATGGCCGAAAACTAATGCAAGCTAGGTTTCACTCTGGAAGAGGGAGAGCTGGCTGGGGCGGAAGGGATAAAACCTGGTGTGAGACTGATGGGCGCCAGCCCTGCAGGTCTGTCAGTCAATAAAGAGCTTTCTTTTCACTAATTTCTGTGCTATTTTTTTTTGGGGGGGGGGCTTGGGTCTTTTTAATCCTCTCATTTATGGTACAGCAGCAGTCAAGTGGCACAGCGTCTACTGGGAGTGTGGCAGAAAACGCCCCAGGCCCACTGGATATCCCTGCGGTGATACAAGCTGCCCACCGCGGAGGCCACACTCACTGACCACGTGCCTACCGAGGCAGGCCTCAGAAAGGTCATCATTAGCCTTGTTTCACAGACACGGGAACAAAGACTCAGAGCAGTTAAGCGAATTGGTTAAGGTTACACAGCTAGTAAGTAGTGAAGCTGAACCCTGAATCTAGGTCTGTCGGAATACAAACCCTGAGCTCCTTTCACGCACCCTTTTGCCTCTCCAACGGGATGGGGAGGGAGGGTCCAGGTGTGGTGAGGAAGATGCCAGATCAGAGTGGGATGAAAACAGTGTTTTGACACAAACATTTGTGGTCCCACACACCAGCAAATCAGAAAACAAAATAAGGTGGCGTAAAGGCGGCTCTTTGGACTTGCTGGGTTCAAATCACAGCTTGGCCATAAGCTTGCCAAGTGCCTTAAGTTCCCTGGTCTTTTTCCTGAGGGGCTTAAGCCCAGACGATCTTTCAAGTCCCTGCCAGCAGTAACATTTTGGGACTCAGTAAAGGGTTAGTCATCATTATGGAATTTGCCTGTTTTAGTAACTTTGAAGAATTCTTGCTCTTCCAGGGTTCCCTGGCACCACTTGGGCAAGTTACTGATCCTCTCAAAACCTCATGGGGGCTGCTGGTACTGACTTTCTATAACAAGAGGAAGATGCAGAGCGGGAGGGTGATGGGCCAGGCAGCACGAGGACTGTTGAGCAGCCCTTGACCTTGTTGCCAACAGAAGCCCTGTTCTGTGCAAGAGAGCACCGTCACTGCAGCCCACCCCCCTTGCCAGTGCTTCCTTTCCCAGCCTTTCCTGCAGGTGACCATGCAACCTGGTTCTGACTCACGTGACACAGAAGGGAGACTTTTATGTCCCTCACTGATGAAAGGGGAGAACCGCTCCAGAAATAAGACAGACACCACCCTCTCACCACCACCTGTTTTCTCCGCTCCCCCTGCTTTATGGTCATCACGATGCAGGGAACTGCAGCACCATCTTAGGACCAGCACTGGCAGGAAGAATGACTATGCTGAGAAAAATACAAAGAACCTGGGTCCTTCATGATGTTACTGAGCTACTCTTGACCTGCCTCCCTCCAGACTTCTATGAAATAAAACATCTTCATCGCCTGTTTTGTTAGCTGGGTTTCCCGTCCCTCACAGTCTAAATCATACACGGTATTTGATGTGCTAAAAGTGCTCAGATTCCAGCAAAAGCTCACAACTCGCATGCATACAATTCCTGTATCTTCTTTTCTCCTGAGGGCTTTAGGGAATGCTGCTCTGAAGTCCTGATTTATGTTTTTGTTTCTACCTTAGTTGCTTTCCATCCCACAAGTATTTAGTGCACATTTTATGCCCTATCTGTAGTTACCATTTTAGATGCTGTGTAAATACGAATGACTCCTGGATGGGGCTGAAGGCCTCTTAGAGGAGGCAACCCAGAGCCTGAAGGCAAACAGGAGGCGCGCCTGCCCAAAGGGGACGGGTATTCCTCGGGAAGGCCTAGACTTGGAGACGGCAGGGGGTGTTCAGAGGCCACAGAGTGCAGGGTCCCCCGGGGTGGGCAAGAGGTGCTACTGGGGAGGAAGGCAGAGAAGGTAAGTGAACTGAGAAAATGCCTAAGGTTTTCTCATTATTTTTGCCCTGAGTGGAGACCAGGATCCACTTAATACAATCACATAATTCTTCAAGAAAACTTAGTGCTAAAGGTGCTGCCTGAAGAGAAAGGTGTTAACTATATTCTAAGAGGCCTTTGAAAATGTGTTTGCGTGATTTTCCCGTTTCTGGCTAGTACCTCTTTCATAGATTCTAGAATATAGGTTTAAGTCCTTCACAGGTCCACTAGCTCTGACCTGTTGAAAATTATCAATGGGTTGAGAGAGTGTACATGAGGAGACATCACGGTGGAGACCAGACTCTGGTGAGAAAATGACATCGGGTGGCATTTTACACCAGGAGAGGGAGAGACCGGATTTTGGTACGATGGGACAGTATATTGGTGACAGGTCAGTGTACTGAAGGTTTACAGCAGAAGAGCTGAGTTAGAAAAAGAGCTTCTTGTCTGCAAGGGTTCTGGAAGCTTTCTTCTGGGGGACCCTCAAGAGCATTTCTTTGTGAAATAGGAGACTCAGATGGCCTGCATTTGTTGAAGGTGGAGTTCTTGGGGTGCTCTGAGGAAAAGAATTTCCTGAGGCCCCCACAGGAGGATGGGGTTCTGTGGAAAGCTTTATTGATAATGTAAAATTAAGGGGGTTCCCCTCCTAGGTCCCAACTCCATCTATCCCACCATGGAAGAAGTCCAATCTTGTCTTCAGCAGGGCCAGAATTAAGGCCACTGCCTAGAATTTCTGTTCCATATTAAAGTGCAGTCCAGCCCAGCATCTGACTGGCTTAGCTTGTGTTCCCAACTGCAGTCCACCGTGTGTGAAGTCCTGGGCCATGAGGCTGCTTAAGGCCACGTGACTATGGAGGGAGAACAGGCGAGCACACGGGCGAATGGGGGTCACGGAGCAAGAGAGAAGAACTCTTTGGGAATCTTAACCCTCCAAGGTTTTGCAAGCTTGCAGTGGCTCCCCCCTCCTAGCCAACTCACAGTCTTTGCTCTCTTCCTTTATTGATGTTAACTAGCTAATTACGGTAACACGTTGACTCCTGTAAATGGTAGGTTTCTTCCAAGTGGGAAAAGCAGCCCCTATTCTTTCTAACAATTCTGATTATCTCTTTCTTGTCACGAGCCCTTGAAGCAGTTTTCTGTCTCAGGAAGAGGTGGAACTCTGACTTCTGGGAGAGCTCTGTTCCTAAGGGTAGTCAATTCTGTTTAGCTCAAACTGGGTGCTGGAGAGTAAAGGTTCAAATCTCACTTCCTGGCCAATTTAACAGCACAAAAGCTAGTAAATTTTCAAACCAGGGCACTGTTTTCAAAGTGTGAGCCAGAAAGGCTCCAAAATAAAACAAGCTCCCCCGCTATCAGTAGAGAATTATCCATTCCAAAAGAATCTGGGATAATCAGGACTTGAGATAAGAGAGCAGGAGGAATATAAATATGTGAGTGGAGGAACAGGCAAGGTTGAGGGTGAGAGAGAGGTGTGTGTGTACATATAGGGTAGGAAATAAGTATTTTTGCTCTTTCCATTTTACTTGTATATCAAATAAACGTAGTTAAATTGCACTAGCCAATGTTTAGGACAGTTCTGCTTTATGTTAAGGGATAAAGAAAAAGCACAATATAAAGAGAAGTCCAACCAATCACGCAGGAAAAGCGATCATGGTCGACTTGACTGCTCTAAGGTCTGCAGGGAGTAAATACTTAGGCTTCCCGGATCATCCCAGTCCCGGCGGGGTCTTCTACTTGGGGCCAGTATTTTCCATACAAGTCAAACTTTTCCTCCACTGGGACGCTGAGCACATTTCCGAAGGACTCCACAGAAACAGCACAGCTGCATTCCAATACTGTTTCGAGATGTGCCTTTCCCTTCAGCTTTGACAGTAGTTAATGCGCTAAATGTCTTGATAGAGAAGGTCATATTTGGGAATATTCTTTGGATCAATAGGACTTTGGACAATAAGTTTTCCCCTCATTGCTCCTCGATAGATCACTTCAATCAAATCTATGAAGTCTTGTTTGGTTTTGAAACTTCCCACAAACTTAGTGTGATCTGGAGACCTAGATAGCACAGAAGAGAAACAGCCTTGCTCAGGATAAACAAAACGAATAGTAGCTCTTTTACTTTCTTCTTGTCAGGGAGACTTTAGACATAAGGCCCAACAATGATTTTTCCATTTCCATTTGATATATGACTAAAACCAGTGCTGTGGGTCCCTGGGGTAGCGTGTAAGCCCTATCATACGAAAGCTTCTACTCAAAATGTACTTTAATCACTTCTCCACTCATTATCTAGTAGAATTCCTTGAGTGCTGGTGTGGGCACAGTTTGTTTTGTTGTTGTGTTTGGCTAGGCACTGTGCGAAGCCCTAGTTGCAGTCACTTCTATTTCTGAGTAGTGGGCGTTACATTTTTTTCCTTCCTTCTTCCTTCTTTTTATTTTATTTTATTACTATTTCGAACATCAAGTGTGCTCACTGCAGAAATTTTTTAAGACAAAAACAATCGCCACATTTTGGTGTATATTCCTCCAATCATATGTACGTGTGTGTGTGTGTGTGTGTGTGTATATATATATATATATATATATGGGTCTCTATGTGCATTTCTTCTTTCACAATAATGGGAATGTATCATACATACTATTTTGCAATATGCTTTTTTAAACTAACATGTATTTCTTTCAAAGTTGTTAACCATGCCATCTACAACATCAGGGTAAACTGGTACCTAGTACCCCTTTGTGGACATCTAGGTTCTAAGTATTCTGCTTCCTAAACGACGAGATAAGTATCCATGGAGGCAATTTTGCCCACTTTCAGGATTATTTTTGTTCAGCTAAATGCAACTGCTGGGTTAAAAATTTTACACTTTTAAGTGTAAATATGGCATGTAATGTCATAAATGGCCTTCTAAAAAGCTGCACCAAATTAATACTTAAATGAACCATATTCTAGGAGGATAGACACCTTTCATATCCTTAAAACACAAGTATTTTACACACTCAAACCGATGATGACAAAGCAGGTACACAGATCTCGACAAGCGGATATCTCAACCACAGTAAGAAAGAATAAGAATTACGGATAGTCAAAATAAGTATTATATTAAATACTAGGATGCCGACTGGATGGAGTGGAAGGCATTAGAGAAGAGTTCATGTCACTTATTCTTGACAGGCTTTGTTGAAGAATAACTTTAAGGAAAGAAGAACCCTTTTCCTGGCAGAAGACAGGAAACTTGGCAAGAGAGGAGCATGTCTTAGTTTGCTGAAAGGAGTACTTCTTTTATAAATGCAACCTATCAGTCCCAAAGGTTTAAGAACAACATAGTTTGTTCTAAATGAAACTCCTGGGAAACTTAAAAAAAAAAAAAAAAAAAGGTTCCATATTTTCTAGACTAAAGGATGGTTAGTGCTTCACAGCCTCGACTATCCTTTCATACTTAAGTAGGAAATTAAAATTTGCCAATCATGCCAGAACACTCATTTTGTACCAAGTTCCATGTAAAAAGTTACAGAGAGCCTCAGCTGAGGAAACAGTGCCAGTACAACTCACTGAGCCACCGATGCATGCAAATAGGTAAGTTATGGAAACTGCTAAAGAGGAAACTTTTAGACTGTGATAGCTTGTCATGTCAACATAACTTACCCATAATCCACTTTCATGTGTTGCCCATTGAAGAAAAACACAGTAGATGGAATATAACTGATGTCAAAATAGTGTGTATAAACTGGAGTTCGGTCCACATCCACCAGATATATAGCAGCCATTTTACTTAAGCCAGGAGAGGTCTTAGAAAGCTGCAAATGAGGAGAGAGATGTAGGTTACAGTAGGAAAGGTAGCTAATGTTTCTTCTGTGAAACGTTTTAATAGAATAGTCTGTTTGAAAAAAATTCCTGGGCCAAAAATCTAGCCTGAGTTCCACATTAGACACAGTGTAACTAACCTTACCTTTCTGAGACTGAATCACTGTTGGCAGGGTTAGGAGAGGGCCCTGGATAAATTGTGTTAATATAGTCCTTCATTGTTGTTCTTCGACTTTTGATTGTAAAGTTTTAATAAACTCTTTATGGATTTATAAAGTCCATGCTCACTTAAAGCAAAAACAAAACAACTTGTAACTATGTATTACCCACATCAAAATACCCTGAGGCCCCTTTCCTTCCAATCCCCACATAAACAGTTATACAAAAAACAGCACACACGGTACTATTATGTGCTGTCCTATGTGCTTTCCACTTTTAACTCATTTAATCTTTACAACATTCCTATGAGGTTCATACTATCATAGTCCCCATTTCGTAGATGAGGAAATGGAAGCATAGGGAGGTAATTTGCCCCTGGTCACATAGCTAGTAGGCAGTTGGTTTTGGATTTGAACTCAGGCAGCTTGGCTTCAGAGTCTGTGCTCTTGACCTCTAGTAATAGTCCTTTCTCCCTACAACTGAGGGCATAATCCTCTGCCCCACCCCCCAGTAACATTACACACTCATATTTAATCACGGTAATGAAATTCTTACACTCCATCCACATAGTGATGTCAGTAATAGAAATAGTGGAAGAAGTCTTAGTCCTGGGGTAAGTCTCCCTCCATAATAAACAGAGACAAGAATAAACCTACTCTGTTCCAAACTGCCCTTCCTACTCATCAAAGTGTGAAGATGGATTGTGAAGTCAGAGATTATCATCAGGCACACACTGGAGCAGCACACCAGTAAAGCAGATCTGCAGGCACAGAAAACAAAGTTCAAATCCCAGCTCTGCAATTTAGTGGTTCTGTGCCTGTGGGAAGTCACTTGACCTCTCTGGGATCCACTTCTCCCCTTGAGAACAGTGACAGTAATGGACCCAGTGTTGTGAGCACTGAATGAGATAATGCTCATGTTGTTCCTGGTCTTTCATTGCCTTGCTGGTGAAGTGGCACTCTGACAGCTGCTAGTTGGGAAGGACATCCAGCACAAGTTCAACACAATCACAGATGGAGGTGTTCAGCTCTTAGTGAAAGCGTACTAACAACTGAACAGCTACATCCCACACCCTGCCTATGCTCCCGGATGCGCTTTGCAGATGTTGAAGTGACGATGTGTAGATTTTTTAAAGAATGATTTATTTAAAAAATTCACTTACAATATCATCTAGTTGCAGACACACAGGATCCTCGTCTCTCCCAAATCTGAGAACCAACACTTTCTCTGCAGTGCTTTTTATCGCCTGGTCGACTTCTTTTTTGCTGGTCAGCTTGGGCAACAGGAAGCTCATCTTGAAATAATCCAATCAATCCCTTGCTGTCAGTCCTGAAATAAAGTTGCAATATTTAGTTTTTATTTTAATTTTTTCCTTTTATTACACCAAAGAAATTGAGTTCAGTGAAGCACATGATGCCGTTCTCAGCTGGGTGCATATTTACATTTGCATCGCTAAGTTACTTACCATAAATACATTTTTAACTGTAGAAAACCTTAAAATAATAAAGTTCCACTTTCAGGCTTTATACAAACATGCAAATGTTAATGTTAGTATGGAATATTCTTTAAATTACACAGCTTTTTTCCCCCCATTATTCTATTACCCTTGCTATGATAGTCAGGTCTCTCAACAATTGCAGAATATTAGGGAGCCCCCTAGTGGCATCTGCATTCCTAGTAAATTTCCAAAGTAAAGAATAAAGTTAGTTCTTTCTTTTACTTACTAACTACTTGGACCAGTTTGGGTTAAAGTTGCAATATTTAAAGGCAGATTAAGGGCATGAGTCCTCATTTAAAGAAAAATTAAGTTTTGGAGTAGGTAATATATATGCTTTTTTCCCAGAGAAAAGAGGTTTCATACAACACAGTATCAAAAAAGTGTAAGTAACATACTCAGTGCACAATCAGGTGGCAAATAAGTCCACCAGTTTAAAAAACAACAATACAGAAAGGTATACTGTGGAAAATCTCCCTCCCTGTCTCCCCTCAACTGGCTTAGTCCACACTGTCCCATTTCTCCCCACACACCAGGTAACTACTTTCATTAGTTTCTCATGTATCTTACAGAGTTTTATTATGCATTTGCTAAAAAATATAAATATGCATTCCTGCTTTCTCCTTTTACCCCAAAAATAGCCTTTCCTACGACTCAGTGTTCTAGCAGAAAAAAGATGACATCCTCAAATTTAGTAATTGGGGGACTTCCATTGAGGCAGGGTATAGGAGAATAGGGTATAGCGCTAGACCCTCTGGCAAGCAGCAGTGGGGCGCTGTTCCTACCCCTATACCTGAAGGAGCCATTGGAGGGAGTAGTGGCCAGAACTGTGTGGTGAAGATGGCTGAGTGGAGAAGGCTGCTGTATAGGAAGTCAGTGTGCAATTAGGGGATTCAGCAGCTCCTCTCCCTCCTGACCTCCTGCTAATGCTCCCACTAGCTGACTCCAACTGGAACCAGAGGGTAAGGGAGCTGTGGAGGGAGAGCAGGCTAGAGAAGGAGGAATGGATCTAGAGGGGCAATGGCAGATGCCCATAATACATATGAAGTCTTTACCCACTCTTGTGTGTGCTGCACTTTTTCACCTAATATATGAAGATCCTCCCATATCTCTAAATAGAAAATTTACACAGTCTTTGTCACAGTAGCATACTATTTCATGTACTTTTTAAACAGTCATTTATTGATGGACCTTTGTATTATCATGAGGCCCGGTTTAAAAATTCTTGGTGCAGCCCTGGCCAGGTAGCTCAGTTGGTTAGAGTCATTTGGATACACCAAGGTTGTGGGTTCGATTCCCCCAGTCAAGAGTCAATCAATGGCCCTGTTTAGTGTGGCTCAGTTGGTTGAGCGTCATCCCATGTGCTGAAAGGTCACCGGTCTGATTCCTGGTCAGGGCACATGCCCAGGTTGCCGGTTCGGTCCCTGGTCAGGGTGCTGTACCAGTGGCAACCGATTGATGTTTCTCTCACACTAATGTTTTTCTCTCTTTCTCTCCCCCTTCTTCTCTCTTTAAAAAATCTATAAAAATATCCTCAGGTGGGGATTAAATAAATACACACACATACTTGGAAAGTTAAACCATACTAGTAAGCAGAGAGAAACAAATTAAAAGATATATAGGGTGTTCCCAAAAAAATGTATACACACACTCTGGATAATTATAAAGGCAGTGTTTATTAAAATACATTTCATTTTCAAAATTGAGCTACCAGCTGTTACAGTGTGTATACATTTTTTCAGGATGCCCTATTTTAAAAAACCGTTAAACTGGCAAAGATTAAGCAAAAATGGGAAGAGTGTGAGTGAAGGGTAGGCATTCACAGTCCTACCTGGAATGCAGAGGGGCAAAACTTTTCTTGAAAGCAAGCTGAAATACTCTCTGACCAACAATTCCAGCGCTGAGACTTAGTTCTTAGGAAATAATTAGACACGGGCACAAAGATTTACATACAAAGGACATTCATCTCACTTATAACGGTAAAAAACTGGAGGTAACTTAAATGGCAATTTAATAGGGGGCTGGCGAACTGAAAGATAGTACAGCTCTGCAATGTACTGTTAAAGTTATAAACCCTTCGGAAACGGAAAAGTTCTCATGATAAAGAAAAAAAGTTATAAGACAGTGTGATACCACCACATTCTACAATCTAGGTACAAAACCTAACCCTAATACATACGTACGTGTTTACAAAGAAAAATAACTGGGAAGGAATACCCCCAAACACCATCACTGGCTAGCTTTGCGTGTGAACAGACAGGTGAGTTTTATTTAAATCGATACAGCTGACCCTTGAGCCACGCCGGGGCTGAGGCGCCCGCGGCCCCGCGCATCGCGCCCCCGAAGCCCAACCTCGGATGGAAAATGCAGTTCGCCCTTGGAAAACATTCAAACCGCGCGGTTCGACCCCGCGTCGTTCAAGGGTCACTGATAAATTTCTAGTGCTGCCTGTGGTAGAGAGAACGACACTTACTTTACTTGTACAAGTCGCCTCCCTCTCTTCAACTTCAGGACAGTCGGCAGCCCGGCCCCTTTTCCAGAGTCGGGAGGGCTGGCGGCGCCTTCTGCTGGAAACGCCACAGGTACCGTAATCCGGAGGAACTCAAGGGTTGTTGCCTAGAAACCTTCGGAGGTCCACTTAAGGGGACGGAGACGGAAACGGAAACGGAAACCGCACAAGCGCAGTGGACAAACCAGCTCCACAGCCCAATAAACTGGTTGTTTCAGTCGCGGTCTACTTTACCGGGCTCTGACCGGAAGCCTTAGAGCCACTTCCGCCCTCACTAAACATGCCCGACCTCTTCCACCCCCTCAGACTAGAGGCGGGGCCTCGCCCCTTAGGCCAAGTGTGGTTGGTCGCAACGAGACTCGGAAGTGTCTCTGATCAGCGTCCCGGCGGAGGATACACTAGTCCTGAGGGCCGGGTCGCGTTATGTCCCACTCTTGGAGCCGGGAACGGGCATTTTCCGGGTTGTTCTCTATGGTCTCTTTGGACGGATAGAAGGGGCAGCACAAGGTATTGTGGGACAATAATGGCCGCTCTCAAGGTGCTGGTTTTGGTTCTTTAAGGCGATCTGAGCGAGGGGTGGCGGCGCCGGCGCCCCAGAACCCGGGACAGAACGTCCTGAGAGTCGGGCTTGGTGAGGTGAGTGTCCCTCCTTCCTTTCTGACCTGCCCGTCGCCGGTCGTGGCGGCTCCAGGCGGCGACAGATATCCGTCCCTCGGTCCGGTTCGGGCCTGGGCTGGGAAAGTCTCGTCCCTGTCACCCAACTTGTCTTACCCTAAGGATGCGGCGCAGGTCCTGCGGGGCCCGGCTTTTCCCTTAGTTCTGGTCAGATCCTGCTGCCTGGCGCGGCCACACTGAGGTCCAGGGATGCTCCCCGGCGGTCCCCCGCCCCCCTCCTTAGGCCTCCGCCTTTGCCCAACCCCAAAAAGACGCCGAGCCCAATCGGGCTCCGCGTGTCTTCCTCCTCTGCTCTGTCAAGCGGCGTCTCTACCAGGCGATCTCCTCCACTGGAGTGTTGACTCCGCGCGGGCGGGGATTTTGGTCTGTTTTGTTCTCCGCTCGATCCCTATTTTCCACAACGGCGATGGGCTCCCGGAAGGCACGGAATGAGTAGTTGTCGAAGGAGTGCATCCAGTTTCATTTTTTATTGTTTTTCTCGTACCCCGTGTAGCTTCTTTGCCACGAATCCTTCTCCAGAATCCAGCCCCCTCACTCCGGCGCATTCGTCTCAGCGGCTGCGAGGAGTCTCTCGGGCGCCTTGTCCGGTGCTGCCGGCGTCTCCCTTGGCCGCCTCTAGAAACGCTTCACTTCCCGTTTCCCTCTAATCCGCTTCAGTTCATCCATCCACTTATTCGTCAAACGTTTATCTTGCTGGCCTTGAGTACAGCATCGGCAAGACAGACCAGACAAGGCTCTTTTTCTCCTGAGTAGGATGGCTTTCTAGGGATTATATTTTCTAGTTTAGGCTGCTTCTGAGCAGAGCCTGGATGGCTCTACCTTCTTGTTTAGATTTTTCTCACGTGTATACAGATGTCACCAGTATGCAGCTTTCCCTTCTCTCTTCTACCTGATGACATTTAAAAAAAAAAAAAAAGCAGCTCTTGTTTCCCTTGTCCATAGCATGTGTCCAGTCTGACAGTATTCCTCTATAGAGCTGTGCACGTTCATTAGAGCTGCGTAAAACATTCTGGATTCTGGTGGTACCCGGACCCTGGACACCTCCTTTGCTCCACTGACTAGTTGGAAAGGGGAATTATCCAAGCGCTCAGAATTGGTGTATGTTTACAAGTGGATGGTGTGTAATGGGAGGTAAAGAGGAATTTATTACAAGTAGAGTACTAGGAAATCTCACAGCCACCTAAATACTCTTCAGAAACACCATTTTCTAACCTAGTGCTTCTCATCAATATTTTTGGTGAACATAGATTGTTTCTAAACAGATTTTGACTGCTGTACACAACTGGTCCAAAAAAAGGCCACTAAAGTATGGATCACATGGATGGTAGCCTTATTCCCAATATCTCTGCTGTATCTGTAAGTTTAAAGGGAGGGAGAGGTAGAACTCATGTGAAAAATGGCGAGGGATCCAATCAGTGACACAGGAGCACAGCAAATCATATAATGTAACAGTTACATTTATGTAACACTTCATGGTTACAGAGAGCTTTCACATATACTCTTTTGTTTGATTCTCACAATAACTCCATGGATTAGATAAAGCAAAAAGTATTTCCATTTTATAGATAGAGAAATTATGCTTAACCAAACATTAAGTTATTTGCTTACAATCAGTCATACAGGTAGAAAATATCGAGAGCCTGGATTCCAATTGAAGTTTCTGACTTCACATCCCCCACACTCCCTTTTTAGATGCCATCGTGCTCTAATAGGTGTGTCATCGTGAGACCTGAGGATGCTTTCTTGGATCCTGGTGTTTGGTGTGTGTGTGTATTTCTTATGTGTGTTAAGGTGGGAGTAGGATGATCTTTTGAGATTGTCAATGACTTGATGGACAGGTCTTAGCAAGGGGTACTAAAGAAATCCTGGTCTTAAGGGGGAGGTTAAATATACCTATAACTACAATTATCTTGGGATATAGCAGAGCCAAGTCTTTTCCCCTCTTATGTCCAATACCAAATGTTTTGTCTTCCTTCCAAGGAAATCCCAGAGCCTGTCATGGAGGACCCCAGTGAGGATACCTCGATCCATAGATTGGAAGGCACTGATGGGGACTCTCAGGTTGGTGGTCTTATTTGCAAGACCAAAAGTGCAGCCAGTGAGCAGCATGTGTTCAAGGCCCCTGCTCCCCGTCCTTCATTGCTGGGACTGGACTTGTTGGCTTCCCTGAAACGGAGGGAGCGAGAGGAGAAAGACGATGGGGAGGACAAGAAGAAGTCCAGGATCTCTTCCTACAAGGACTGGGAAGAGAGCAAGGATGACCAGAGGGATGCTGAGGAGGATGGCAGTGACCAGTCCGGTCGAGGTAGCCGAAAAGACAGGTAAAGGCTTTAGGATGGGTTGACTCAAAGGGAGTGAAAGTGGAGGCCAGAAAATAATGTCCTATGTTTATCTCTCAGTTTTCTTGTTGGACATGTAGAGCTTTTGGAGTATATTTGATTTTATAATACTGAGGGTAGGTAGGAACTGATGTATTTTTCACATTTGTGGGGAACATTCAAAGGAGACCAGTGAGTAGATGATGGTGGTTAGAAATACTTTGGGTTGTTGTCATATGTAAGTAAGCCTGAAGTACCAGGGGATAGAGTAGAAAAGGACAGGTCACTCACTTGACACAGTCAGAGGCTTTGGGGCAAGGTTTTCTCTTGTGGAGGGACACTTTACCAGTTGCCCTCCCTGTTTCAGACATTATCGATCTGCTCGAGTAGAGACTCCATCCCATCCTGGTGGTGTGAGCGAAGAGTTTTGGGAACGTAGTCGGCAGAGAGAGCGGGAGCGCCGGGAACATGGTGTCTATGCCTCATCCAAAGAAGAAAAGGATCGGAAGGAAAGATCGCGGGATCGAGACTGTGACCGCAAGAGAGACAGAGGTAGACTGCCCAGCATAGTTCCCATAACCCATTAAGCATTTGAATTAACCCACCAGCCTCTTTCCTGTTGCAGGAAGAGTCTTTATAATGCCCGTTAAATTAGGGAGCCCTGTTTGCATAATGTCACCCTGATTGGTTATTGACCTTGTTGGGACAGGGAATAGCAGGCAGTTTAAAACTGTTACTTACAGCATAGCTGTTTTGCTTGAGTGTGTGGTCCTCGTTTTATTATGAAACTTGGTGATAATGGGTAATATGTCTGAGAAACCAGAGTTGACAGTAGTGTTGGTGGTAGAGAAAGTGCTATGGAGAAAAGCTAGACATAAAATCCAGTATTTTGCTCAGTGTTGTTTACATTTTATAGCTTATAGACTTGTAACTATTAAACAGTTACTAATACACTAATAACCGTTCTTTTCTGAATTCTCACAGGAAAATAACTGCTACTGTGAATTTGAAACCTTCTAGCCATTATCTATTTTTTCCCCTTAAAAGAATGGGGATATGTGAGTTTCAGGAGCCCATAGATCATATTAGAGCAGTGTAGGTTGCACCTGTGAGTGGGAAGGCCTCTCCTTTCTCTAGGGTGAAGACTGGTGGAAGTTGGGACGGGATACATGTTTTCTAAGCTCTGTGTGTGACTCTTGACAGATGAGCGGGATAGAAGCAGGCACAGCAGCAGATCAGAGCGGGATGGAGGGTCAGAGCGCAGCAGGAGAAATGAACCAGAGAGCCCACGACACCGACCTAAAGGTAGACTGAGCCGTTGCTGGTGGTGGTTTGTGAGGGTCAAACATACAAAAGGCAGGGTGATCGACTCCTATCCTCAGTGGGATTGCTGTGGGCAGAGAGGGAATTCCTGATTCCATCATGAACGTCTATGACTATTTGGTTCTGAGTTGGGTGGGAAGGCCCTGACTTCTCTGTAAAGATGGATATGATCTTTAAGGTGATAGGCTGGCTTACTGAATAGCCATTTTTCCAAATGGTGGGAAAGAATAGGGAGCTGCAGAGCAGAAGGAGAATTCGTTAAAAATAATTATATTTAAAGGGTTAAGTTTGCAGAGACAAATTGGAAATTCCTTGAAATGTTGCAAACACAGATGAAAACTGGACTGTTAAAATGCAGATATCTTTAAAAACTGTCAGAACCATCTTATCCATTGCAAATAGGTACAAAGTTTATAAACAGTAAAATAAACTTGGGACATTGACTTTTGGCTAATAGTTGTAGAGCCATGTCCTGGTTAAATTAGATGTGTTTCCTATGGATGTGTCTATTGTGGCCCCAGATGCAGCCACCCCATCAAGGTCTACCTGGGAGGAAGAGGACAGTGGCTATGGCTCTTCAAAGCGCTCGCAGTGGGAATCGCCCTCCCCTTCACCTTCCTATCGGGATTCTGATCGGAGCCATCGACCGTCCAGCAGAGATCGGGATAGGTGATGTTCTGAGCAGAGCAGCCTAGTTTCTCTGGGTGGGTGGCGTGGGTGGATGTGATGAGGGCAAAGGGCTCTGGGCTGGGAGAGCAGATGGCAGCTGGGGGACATGTCTCAGCTTAGTGACTCTTTAGTGATGATGGTTATACTGTTTCCCAGGTCTGTAAGGAGCAGGTACTCAGACGACACACCTTTGCCAACCCCATCCTACAAATACAACGAGTGGGCCGATGACAGAAAGCACCTAGGGTCCACCCCGCGTCTCTCCAGGGGCCGAGGTAAGGCAGTATGGGAGTAGGCAGCAGGAGAGCAGGGTCGCTCCTTGGTCAGGCTGAGCAGAGCTGTGCTTCTGGAGCTGTGTGCTTTGCAGGTCTGTTGGTAGCCGCTGGGGATGAGCTGGGGTTGTGTGGTCTGACCTGTTACATGTTCTCCTTCAGCAAGACGTGAGGATGGTGAAGAAGGGATTTCGTTTGACACAGAAGAGGAGCGGCAGCAATGGGAGGATGACCAGAGGGTAAAAACATTTTATCTTTGAGGGACTGAATGAGGGATGGTGGCCATCCCATTGGTGAATGGGTGACAGGGTATGTCAGTGCAGGGGCCACGAGTGACACTCTGGTAGAATTGGACTTTGATGACAGCCTCAGGGAAGCTGAGCCCTGTTTAGTCCTAAAGCCCTGGAATCTCCAGAGGCAGAGGCTCCGCAATGAAACTCCTCACCTAAGGCAGGTCAGACCTAACTTTTCTAGTTATGTGTTGGTGCCACCATGTGGTAAATCTTAGAAGTGCTGTCATGATGAGCTGCCATACGAAGTCTTACAGACAGAAAATCAGTCACTGTGGTTCTCCTCTAGATGGCGCATCAGAGCAGGCTGGCCGCCTGTATCTTTCACAAAGGCTGCTCCACCACACCAGTGACTTCTTACAAAACGTCTCCTCCCTTCTGGCCTTGCCTTGTGCATAAACTTGATATGTCCCCTGTTCCCTGTGCTTTGTGTCCTGTGCTGCAGCAAGCTGACCGGGATTGGTACATGATGGATGAGGGGTATGACGAGTTCCACAATCCCTTGGCCTACTCTTCCGAGGACTATGTGAGGAGGCGGGAGCAGCACCTGCATAAACAGAAGCAGAAGCGCATTTCGGCTCAGCGGAGACAGATCAATGAGGTGACGCTGCTGCCTTCAGTAGTTGGAGCAGATTCAGCCGGAGTTGGGGGCATATGGGAGAAGCAGCAGGTCATATGCACATGATGGCAGTACAGCTTGTCTCCCCACTGCTGAAGTACCAGAAGAGCTATAACTCTAGAGGTGGAGGAGGGGAGGCTGTGGAACTTTTCAGTAGCTTAGAAAAACAACACATCCAACTTATAACCTTTCTTTGCAGTACTTCCTTGAGAGGTGCTGTTAATGGGAACTGATAGGGTAGGACCTGGCTCTGTGGTCTGTGTTCTTTGTGTCTCTGAATGGGGCTGGGGACGGTCACCATATGTGTGTCCTTGCAGAGGTTCTGGCTGAGATATAAAGTGCCGCTTCTTGGAAAAGGTACTGCAGGAGATTTGGGATCAGCAACTCTCCTGTCTAAGGAGCTACAGGCTAACAAGGCCTGTGGCATCTCTGTGGTCCCTGTGGCCCTTCTGTCAGGACTTGATGCATGAACTTGCCTGGTGACCTTTCGGGATGACCTTTCGGTTTCACTCTGATCGTGGCCTCCCACTGTGTCCTTACAGGATAACGAGCGCTGGGAGACCAACCGCATGCTCACCAGTGGGGTGGTCCATCGGCTGGAGGTAGACGAGGACTTTGAAGAGGACAGCGCGGCCAAGGTGCATCTGATGGTGCACAACCTGGTGCCTCCCTTTCTGGATGGGCGCATCGTCTTCACCAAGCAGGTGAGCTTCCTCTGTGGTCCTAGAGAAGGAAGCTCAGCCTGGCCGGTGTGGCTCAGTGGTTGAGCGTTGACTTAGGAACCAAGAGGTCGCCAGTTCGATTCTTGGTCAGGGCACATGCCCAGGTTTCGGGCTCCATCCCCAGTAGGCGGTGTGCAGGAGGCAGCCTATAGATGGAGCTTCTCTCTCATAGATGTTTCTATCTCTCTGTCCCTCTCCCTTCTTCTCTCTCTCAAAGTCAATAAAAATATATTAAAAAAAAAAAAAGCCCATAAAGATCTGAAGTAGAAATGGGAAGGAAGGAAGGAAGGAAGGAAAGGAAGGGGGAAAAAATGCCGTCACAATAGGGTAGTCGCCCCTCTCATTCCCTGGGGCTGTTGGGAAATGGACCTTCTTCTTGAGATTAATGATCAATGGGAATTTCTCTTTCACTCAACCTCCTGCAGCCAGAGCCTGTGATTCCAGTCAAGGATGCCACTTCTGACCTGGCCATCATTGCTCGAAAAGGCAGTCAGACAGTGCGGAAGCACAGGGAGCAAAAGGAACGCAAGAAGGTTGGTTTCTTATCATCTGGGGCTGGGGAGTCTCTACATAGTCTTTTTTCTTTTTTAAAATCATATTAGACCTCCTAAGTAGGGTTCCTGTTGGAAGTTAGCACTCACAGAGCAAGAACCACCCCTGGGAAGTGGGCATTGTGTTCTACCAGCACCTTAGTTAGGACAACCACAGGGCCTGCTGCTTCGGGAGCCGAAGGCTGAAGATGGAATGCCTTGTGGGAGTTTACCACCTGCTGCTAGATGAAGCCTGTGAAATGGGCTTGGTTTTCCTGAACACAGGCGTGTCACAGGATGGAGCAGACTTACTTTTCATGACTTTTGTAGGCTCAACACAAACACTGGGAACTGGCTGGAACCAAACTGGGAGATATAATGGGTGTCAAAAAAGAGGAAGAGCCGGATAAAGCGCTAACAGAAGATGGTAAAGTGGACTACAGGTAGGAGTCTGCCAGCAGTGGACCATCTCCAAAGACGGGCCCTCAAGGGCACTTGCAGAGGAACTGATACAGTGTGTGGCTCACGAATAGGAAAGTGATGTCACTTTGTCTTCTGGTCTCTTCTGGCCCTTCCTCTGGTCTCTCTTTTCTACCATCTTCAACTTTCCCTATTGCTGCTACTACTGTAGGAGCTTCTTCTGTGCCAGGCAGCGCTAAACGCCTCACAGTTACTTGCGCACTGAATTCCCACCGTAGTTCCATGGGATATAGGTGCTGTGCTTCCCATTTCATCTGAGCCGAATGAGGCCCAGGGAGGTTAAGTAACTTGTTTGCGGTCACCAGCTAGTAAATGGTAGAGGGAGGATGACACCCGACAGTCTAGCTTAGAGCCCACTCTTAGCCACTCTTTTAGAGTGCTGCTCAGGTGTTTGGTGTGGGAATGTAGGCTTTGCCCACGTAGACTTCAGTTCAACATGAGGAAAAAGTATTTTTAACAGAGGTTTGAAAATAGAAGGGGTTGTCTTATCAGGTAGTGACTTCCCTCTTCATAGAGGTTTCTAAGGCGATGTTGGGTAAGTGCTTATTGGGATTCCCACATTGGGTAGGTGGCTGGAATCACATGTCTCTTGTGAAGCTCATCCTTTGAACACTCTGAAGTCCTACTGAACTGTCATCTGAATTAATAATTCTCTGTACCCTTGAGAGAAATGTCCCAAATGAGAAGTCGGTACTATTTTTTTTTTTTAAATTGATTTGAGAGAGAGGAAGGTAGAGAGAGACAAACATCTATGTGAGAGAGAAACAACAATCTATCGCCTCTCGTATGCACCCCGACTGGGAATCAAGCCTACAACCTGGGTATGTGCCCTGATCAGGAATCGAACCCGCAACCTTTCAGTGTATGGGACGATGCTTCTACCAACTGAGCTACACTGGCTAGCGGGAGAAGTCAGTACTATTGATCTGGCCTTGTTAGTCTCTAGAAAATTAAGTCCCTTAGATGTTAATTGTTAGCTGAGCAGGAGTGACTGGGAAATTAGAAATAGGGAGCCTGACAGAGCATGGGGTAGGTCTGACAGAGGAAAAGTCTTGGAAGGAGGGTGGGTGGAAGATTGTGTTGACTCATGTAGCATTGGGCTGGTATCTCTTTGCCGTGGAGTCTTTGGAAAATCACATAGTGCTTTTGAGTCTTGGGATGTATACACATGTCAGATATTTGAATGCTTTTAGGAGAAGTAGGCAAATATTAAACCGGACTGTTCTCACAGTTCTTTGAAAAGAATCCTTACAGGCTGCTCCATCTTGTTGAGAGGAGGGAGGAGGGAGGAGGTCTGACCTTGATCATGACTCTGCATCTACGACTCTTCTTCTTAGCCCTTTACGGGCTGTGCTGAACTTGCCCAAGGGTGTTCTGTATAAGATAATGACCTGTCATTTCAGCTCCTCTTCTGGCTGAACTCATTTTTAGGGCAGAGGATTTGCCCACTTGCTAATCTGTAACTCCTCTGAGCCATATGTAGCTCTGTTTGACTGGGGGTGTTTGGTGTATTTGGATGATGGATTCTGCTCCCTTAGGCTGGAGGAGGCGAGTAGCATCTCTGATCACCTGGCTGCTCTAGTGTCTTGAAGATTTATTGCATCTTATTGAACTAGTTTTCAGTCTTGGATGTAGGAAGAAGGGTGGAAGGAAAGTGTGGGACATCGTGCAGGGTGCTTAGGCTGCCATGTGTTCTCAGGACAGAGCAGAAGTTTGCAGATCACATGAAGAAAAAGAGTGAGGCCAGCAGTGAATTTGCAAAAAAGAAGTCAATTCTGGAGCAGAGGCAGTATCTGCCCATCTTTGCAGTGCAGCAGGAGCTACTCACTATTATCAGGTAACTCTGCCCCAGGGCCTGGGAATTACAGTACTGACTTGGGTGTCCCCTTTGTCTCCTGTATTTACTTGGTATCTCTTTTTGCTTTGGGCATTACATCTGATGGAGAAGGGAAAGTAAGCAAGATGGCATTGTTTTGTTACCGTTCACTTATTTAAATCTCACGATCTTCTAGACGTTTCAGGTGGTATCTCAGTATGGGGCAGTTTTCCCAGGGAAATCCTCTCTAAGCAGGCATGCCTCTTGGTTAGCCAGATGTGGGGACAGGAGGTGGCAGCATCTTGGAGGCGTGGGTGTGGTCTTCCACTCGGCTGATTTGGCCTTTGCCTTCTCTCCCTTGCAGAGATAACAGCATCGTGATTGTGGTTGGGGAGACGGGGAGTGGTAAGACCACTCAGCTGACCCAGTACTTGCATGAAGATGGTTACACGGACTATGGGATGATTGGGTGCACCCAGCCCCGGCGTGTGGCGGCCATGTCGGTGGCCAAGAGAGTCAGTGAAGAGATGGGGGGAAACCTTGGCGAGGAGGTGAGTGGGCAGGGGCTGAGCTGTGGTTATTACCTGGTAGCTTCCTTCTATTTGAGCTGATCTGCTAAGGCCTGGACCCAGCACAGGGTGTGATAGTGGTGAACCGGTACCAGAGCTTCTGAGCCATCTCTGATCTCCAGGTGGGTTATGCCATCCGCTTCGAAGACTGCACTTCAGAAAACACCTTGATCAAATACATGACTGACGGGATCCTGCTCCGAGAGTCCCTCCGGGAAGCAGACCTGGATCACTACAGTGCCATCATCATGGACGAGGCGCACGAGCGCTCCCTCAACACCGACGTGCTCTTCGGGCTGCTCCGGGAGGTGAGGGCTGTGGGGTCCACTCTCTCTGTCCATGGCGCTTTGACCAGCATATTGTTGGTGGTGATCGTGGCTCTTCAGGTGGGCTTGGGGCTAGCCTGAGGAAGTGAAGTAGTCTCTGTCAGGACAGAGTGTCCCGGGCCCCCAGTTGCTGGGTTCAGCCCTGGTGTTGCAGTTCATTCTGCTCTTGCTCAGCTGAGTGACTCATGGCTTTCTTCGCTGTGGCTCCATGGGTTCAGTGTTCAGTGTTATGCATCTCTGTGCCAGTTTGTTGGCTTCAGCTTCTGTTTCATTTGGGAGTAATGTTGAGACTGGAGGATGGATGCCAATGGTCCCAAACCTATGGGGAAGCCCCTGACTGACCTCTTCTCTTAGGTGGTGGCTCGGCGCTCAGACCTGAAGCTCATTGTCACATCTGCCACTATGGATGCCGAGAAATTTGCTGCCTTCTTTGGGAATGTTCCCATCTTCCACATCCCCGGCCGTACCTTCCCTGTTGACATCCTTTTCAGCAAGGTACCGAGGCCGCCTTTTTTTGAACTGACCCTGAGTGAGAAGTTGGAGGGTGCAGGATAGGGTGCTGAGTTGGGAAAGGTGGGTACCATGAGGTGCATGGGGAAGCCAGTAGCTCCAGGGCTGAGCCAAAGGACTGTGCTTTGGGTGTGTTTTGTTTTATTGTTTCTTTGGAGCAGAAGTGTGGGGCCCAGGGGTGTTAGTCAAGCTTATCTACAGGTGCGGCAACCCTGAAAGTCTGCCGTCTCCAGCCCTAGACTAGTGACTGGGCCACTGGTTCCCAGAGAGGTGCCTGGCCTGCATTGCCCTCGACACTTTCTTCTGACGGTGTCCCTGGCTGGTGTTGCAGACCCCGCAGGAGGATTACGTGGAGGCTGCAGTGAAGCAGTCCTTGCAGGTGCACCTGTCAGGGGCTCCTGGGGACATCCTCATCTTCATGCCTGGCCAGGAGGACATAGAGGTACGTGCCTTGTCATGACCATGATGAACGGGTGTATCCTATGTGTGAGAGTTTGGGGCTCTAGTGGCTCACGGTTACTTTGTCCTCAGGTGACCTCAGACCAGATTGTGGAGCATCTGGAAGAACTGGAGAATGCGCCCGCCTTGGCCGTGCTGCCCATCTACTCCCAGCTGCCTTCTGATCTTCAGGCCAAAATCTTCCAGAAGGTGCGAGAGCAAGAACGTCTGTCTTGGGCCCTCACCTTTGGGTCCTCTTGGGTTCTCCCAGGAGGGCAAGAGCGTAGGAGTTCCTTTTCCGGCAGGGGTGGGGCATGCTCTTTCCTCAGGTTGGAGGGAGGGGTTGAGGGGAGTCTTTGCTACCTGAAGGTCTACAGCTCTCCCTCCCTGCACATCCTTGCCTGGCTGTAGGCTCCGGATGGTGTTCGGAAGTGTATTGTTGCCACCAACATTGCTGAGACATCTCTGACTGTCGACGGCATCATGTTTGTTATCGATTCTGGTTATTGCAAATTAAAGGTAAGAGAAGACACAGGGCCCTGGGCCCTCACCCAAAGCTAAATTGGGATGGGAAGCAGGCCCTGGGTCCTCGGCCCTCCAATGAGGGATTCACATGAAAGTGGTGCTGGTTTAAGAGACTAACATTTATTGAGTTCTGAAGTTGCTATGTGCTTGATTCATTTAATCCTTGTGGTAACTTGATGGGGCAGACAATTTAAAAATTCAAGAGAGATCATGGAGCTGGTGTTTCTGGGGAAATTTATAGAGGTTTCTGGCTCCAAAAAGATGGCTGCCTGTATTGCTAAGACACTTTGCTCTGCGGTGTGTAGCAACCGGGGTTTGTGTTTGTCTCAAGGCTGCCACCCTTTTCCTTTTCTCCCTTACTCTGTCCTTAATCAGCTCTTTGCTGCCCCTTCCTAGGTCTTCAACCCCAGGATTGGCATGGATGCTCTGCAGATCTACCCCATCAGCCAGGCCAATGCCAACCAGAGGTCGGGGCGAGCTGGCAGGACGGGCCCAGGTCAGTGCTTCAGGTATGAACCCTGTGCCAGCCTGCTTTCCGGGGCGGCGCTGGGATTGCTGAGTGTGGGGCCTGGGCCAGAGTGGGTGGGATTGGACTGTGATCCAGCAGAGGTTTGCTGGCCTTAGAGCTGATCCCTGAGGCTGGGGACGGATGGCAGGGCTGCCACTTGGTCCTGTCATCATATGCAGAGTGGAAGGAGTAGTCTTTCCAGGAAGCTCTGAGTCTCAGTGGTTTTGGGTTTTAAGCAGACTTAGGTTGAATTATATTCGCAGTAGGAGACTGTAATTACAACATGTTTTCCCTCAGAGGACAAATCTGATTAAACTACACCATTGGTTCTTTTTCACATCTCCAATTATTCTTTTTTTGGTTCTAAATTTAAAAAACAATGTATTCACTATAGAAATTCAGAAAACATAGAAAAATACTAAGAAAATAAAACCCAGCCACAATTCTAGTCCCAGGCTCTCCAGAAATGAAACAAGCATGTAGGAGAAGAGTAAACTGGGAAGACTGAGTTTTGAATAGGTGGAAATTTGCAGTTCAGAGAGGAAGTGGGGAAGGGTTGGGGAAGAAATGAGAAATTCTCCTACCCGTGGCTGTCCTCTGTCCTGGTTGTTTGTGGTGCACATGCAGTGAGGAGCTGAGGTAGCGTCACTCTGCTGCTAAGGTGATCTCTGCGTAGGCAGCCAGACATGTTTGAGAGGCTCAGCGCGCAGTGTGGTGGTAGGTGCAGCTGGACTTGGTCTTCTCCTTGGCAGGCTTTATACCCAGAGCGCCTACAAGAATGAGCTCCTGACCACCACGGTACCTGAGATCCAGAGGACCAACCTGGCCAATGTGGTGTTGCTGCTGAAATCTCTAGGGGTGCAGGACCTGCTGCAGTTCCACTTCATGGACCCGCCCCCAGAGGACAACATGCTCAACTCCATGTATCAGCTCTGGATCCTTGGAGCTCTGGACAACACAGGTGCTGTGGCCCCAGGAGCCGGGCAGGGCTTCCTGGTCTTTGCCTCTGTTCTGCACTGTGTTCACTGAATATCTGGATTTGCTCCTTTCTCCTAGGTGGTCTGACCTCAACTGGACGGCTGATGGTGGAGTTCCCGCTGGACCCAGCCCTGTCCAAGATGCTCATTGTGTCCTGCGACATGGGCTGCAGCTCCGAGATTCTGCTCATTGTGTCCATGCTCTCGGTCCCCGCCATCTTCTACAGGCCCAAGGTGGGGAGATGGTGTCTAGCTCTCCTTTCTTCCCAGAAGCCTCAGGGGGAGTTATGGGCTCAAGAAGGATTACAGAGTGCAGTAGTTTCTCTCTGTATTTATGAAAATGGAATGGAGCCCTGGCCGGGTGGCTCAGCTGGTTGGAGCACCGTCCCGTGCACCAAAAGGTGGTGGGTTTGATTCCTGGTCAGGGAACATACCTAGGTTGTGGGTTTGATCCCTGGTCAGGGCGCATATGGGAGGAACTGATCGATGCTTCTCTCTCTCTCTCTTTCCCTTTCTCTCTAAAATCAATAAACATATTCTCAGGTGAGGATAAAAAAAATTATTAAAAAAGTGGAATGGAGGGACAGGAGTCATGGTTTCTAAAGAATGATTTCTGTTAAGCAGGTTGGGGTCAGGGTGAGGGGAAAGGATGGGCTAGATCAGTGCTTCTCAGGAAATGTTTTGAAAATTTGCAAGAGCACTTTTTATCTTCTAGTTTGGTTGTACCTGAAGTCTCACGTTAGGATTAATATTTTACTGTAAACTGCTTTATCTTTCTTATAGTGTTCGGGCACTATGTTGATGTGTTTGAAGTTGTGTTGTGTGGGTAGCTGAGAACCTCCTGTCTCTTCTCAGTGGGCCTGGACTCCCTTGAGCTTAGAGGTCCCTTTTTCCTTCCCAGGGCCGAGAGGAGGAGAGTGATCAGATCCGGGAGAAGTTTGCTGTCCCTGAGAGTGATCATCTGACCTACCTGAATGTTTACCTGCAGTGGAAGAATAATAATTACTCTACCATCTGGTGTAATGATCATTTTATCCATGCCAAGGCCATGCGGAAGGTGGGGGCAGTGGCCCAGATAAGCAGGATGTTGGGATGAGGGGTGGAAGGCATGGGAAGGAGGGCTTTATCCTTGCCTACCTGTGTCCTGCTCTAGGTCCGGGAGGTGCGGGCTCAGCTCAAGGACATCATGGTGCAGCAGAGGATGAGTCTGGCCTCCTGTGGCACTGACTGGGACATTGTCAGGAAGTGTATATGTGCTGCCTATTTCCACCAGGCAGCCAAGCTCAAGGTGAGCCCATTGGAGTTCTGGCCCCTTCCTGGTCTGATATTTGTCATGGGCAAAGTTCTTCCTTTCTCATTGTACAGTTCTGCAGATCTGGGCTTCCCCCACAAGCCTGGGTCAAGATAGTATTAAAGGGATGGGTTAGCTGCCCAAATGAGCAGCATCTTCCTGACGTTGGCTCCTGCTGTGTCTCTTCCCTAGGGAATTGGGGAGTACGTGAATATCCGGACAGGGATGCCCTGCCACTTGCACCCTACCAGCTCCCTCTTTGGAATGGGCTACACCCCAGACTACATAGTATATCATGAGTTGGTCATGACCACCAAGGTGAGTCTTTTCTGAGGTAGCTTGCATGATGTAGGACCACCTGGCTGGGCCAGGTTCCTTCACTGCCTTTTGGGATGAGCTTTGACGTTGGGAGGCTTGAGACCACATGCCTTGCTTTGAGGGGAGTTGAGGATGGTTTTCAGTTGAGGGTTTGGAGAAACTTGCACAGAGCTAACCTGTAAGTTACAGGGGTCTTGGCTGTGCCAGCAAGAATGTTTCCTATTTACTGCCTGGGATAAGCAACCCCTTGTGGTGTCATCATTAGAATGGTTTTCTGAGGGGCTGGACCTTTTCTCTTGGATGCTAGGGGGTGCTTTCTTAAGCATGGAGGAATTTGGGTGGGAGAAGGGATTAAAATTCCAGTGCCTGAGGCTTTTCCCAGCTTTTTTCACGCTCAGAGGGCTGGGGGGTAAGGCCCTTCCCACATATCTCTTAATTGTGGAACCACATTGTGAGGGGACAGCCTGGAGCCTTGGCCCTTCTGTGACCACCACTTTGTGGCCCTCTGCCTACAGGAGTACATGCAGTGTGTGACTGCTGTGGATGGAGAGTGGCTGGCGGAGCTGGGCCCCATGTTCTACAGTGTGAAACAGGCAGGAAAGTCTCGGCAGGTAAGGGTCCTGTGCTTTCCTTGAAAGTTCTGTTTGTCTCTGGGATCCATTTTGCCTCAGCCTGGTATTGAAGATACATCACCATCTGACTACCCCCCCTTACTTCTCTCTCAAACATAGTGACTGTGATCTAGCCCATTTGGTCTATCTGATTTCCCCCCACACACTCCAGTTGCTTGGTCTGCCAAGGCCTTTTAAAAAGGAAGTTATTGAAAAGTGCAGATGTTTTTAAAAGTGGGAAAAAACCAGTATAATGAGCCACCATAAATTCATCGCCCAGCCTCCGTAATTATGAACATTCTGCCAATTTTGTTTTGTTTATTCCCAACCCTCTCCAGACACATCCATATTTTTCCTGGAATGTTTATTTATTCATTTTTATTTTTTAATTTTACTTTTGTACTTTATTTTTAGAATGTATCAAGAATGCTTTTGTCTGTCTTTCATGATATGTTTGTTATTGTTTCTTATATATACTCACTGGCTCACCCAAATCTCATGGTGCTGCCCCATTTCCCTTGCTTTCCCAGCTGCCTCTTCATGGTCCACTCAGAGCCCCTGGCTGGTCTGAGGATAGGCCCTGAAGGGCCAGTTCCTGCTCTGGGCACGGAAGCCTATGCCCTGGGGGAGGGGCACAGCTTCCTGGGCAGCCTGTGAGGTTTCTTGCAAGAAACTGGATGCCTTTGAGCCTGGAGAACCTGCTCCAGAGTTCACGTGCCATCATTGTGTTGTGTGTGTTGGGATGGGCTTGAGGCATCAGGAGGCATCTAAGTGGCAGATTCACCGACTCTCTCTCCTGCAGTTGTGTTCTGGTGGGTTCTGGTTTCCTCAGCATTGGGCCTCCAGGATCTTGGCCTGTTTTTGCAAGTCAGCTTGGGTGAGGGGGGATGGTTCCGGAAGGATGAGCAGGGCCGGCCACTCATTGCTGATAGATAGGCCGAGGTAGATTTTTCAAAACAGGAGATGCAGGGGTGGTAAGTGAGCAGAGGGGCTGAAGGGCAGGCCTGCAGCCCCAGAGGGAAGGACCCTGCACTGGATCTGCCAGCAGGGCCGAGTGCAGGAAGAGAGCAGAGGCTGCCTGGGAGCCAGCAGGGCGGTGGCTGTGGAGACAGCTGGTGCTGAGGGCTCAGGTGCCTTGAGGGAGCAGTGGGCCTTTTTCCTGGAATATTTTAAAGCATATCTCAGACACTGTGTTTTTTCATCCATGAATACCTGACTTTGTATCTCTAAAAGGATTTTTAAAAATTAAAATGTAACCTTCCTGCCATTATCACTTGACAGAATCAGTCCCCTTTTATCTCAAAGATAACTTTTTATAACTGATTTGCTTCAATTAGGATCCAAACATTGCAATTTGTTATGTGTATTAAGTCTTTTATTCTAGAGCAGGCTCTGTCTCACTCTTTTGATGGTATTGGTTTATTGAGATACCAGGTCATTTATCTTGTAGAATGTCCCATGTCTTGTGTCGGGCTGATTGGTTCCTCAAGATGTATAACAAGTGCCTTTATCCTATGTACTTTCTGCAAACTAGTAATTAATCTGAAGCCTTGGCTAGATTCAGGTTCAGCTGTTCCGGGCAAGGATGCACCAATGAACGTGGTGCTGCGAACTTCCTCTTAGATCCTGTCAGAGGCCTGGTGGTCTCACGATGCTGAGCTTGCCCAATGGTTCCACCTGATCCCTCCATTATAAATTCTCTGTCTCCTGCTCCATCTCCTCACAGTCTTAGTGTCCATGGATGGCTACCACCTAGGTCCATTATTTAGGGTTGCAGAATGTTGTGGGGCTTTTGCTTTCCCCCTTCTCAGCATAGTCCTCCCCACACTGGGCGTGCGCACACCTTTCTTATGTCCGAGCTTCACAGCGAGATGTAATGTCTTCCCTGTTTCCTGTCCTTCCTGGCATAGTCATGAACTTTATAAGAAAATATAAGTACTTACTGAATTGAATGGAGTGCTGAGGCATGACAGGGTTAGGACTGAATCATCCAGCGTCTATCTTGAATTAGTGAGGAAAGCAGGCCCTGGCCTTGGTGCTGGGGCAGGGAGCCGCGTGGCCCCGCCTCTGAGAGCTGGTGTGGGTTACACAGCACCAGGCTTGCAGCAGGGAGATGGGTGCAGACAAGGCCTTCTTACTCACTGGTCCCCAGAGGCTCCCAATACCTCTCTCCCTTCTCTAGGAGAACCGCCGACGGGCCAAAGAGGAGGCCTCTGCCATGGAGGAGGAGATGGCGCTGGCTGAGGAGCAGCTGCGAGCCCGGCGGCAGGAGCAGGAAAAGCGCAGCCCCCTGGGCAGTGTCAGGTGAGCTTTGACGTCAGGACCCTGGCTGGGAGGGAGCCCCTAGGAAGCTCCAGACACCAGCATGATGGACCAACTAGGTCTCGATGCATGGTCACGATTTAAGAGAATGTGTAGAGGTGAGTTGGCAACAGAAGTTGACGGTGGTCACATGTGGAGACATGGAGGACGTCTGGACATACTTTCAAGGGGTGGTGATAATCTGTAACTGCCGATCACTGTGATGTTCTTTTGGGGCCAGAGGTGGGTTGGAGTAGCAGGGTAGGTCTCATAGCTTTACTGACAAGCCAGGGCTTGGAAAGCACTGGTGAGGGGAGGAGAGCCTTGGATTTGTGCATCTGTGCTGGTGTCTGGAGTTAGGTCTTCACAGGTGAAGGGCACAGTTTTTTGCAAGATTGCTCTCACTTTAGACACCAGCTGCAAGCTGGGGGATACCCAGGGTCACCTCTCACCTCTGACCAATTTGTTACAGATTTGGGGATCCCCACAGGCTCCCTCAAGTTTGATAATTTGCTAGAACAACACAGAATTCAGGAAGTTTTATTATAGCAAAAGGATACAAACTGGAACCAGCCAAAGGGAAAGATGCATAGTGTGAAGTCTGGGAGGGTCCCGAGTGCAAAGTTTCAGGTGTGTTCAGGGCAGCTTTAGCCTCCAGGCACACTGATGTGTGACAGCACGCAGAGTATTGCCAACAGGGAAGCTCATATGCGTTTCCGTGCCCCGTTTTATCAGGGGTTTCATATATAGGCGGAGATTGAATCAGCACCCATGTGGTTGACTCAGTCTCCAGCCCTCCTTCCCTCCCCAGAGGCTGGGCTCAAAGCACAGCCCTGTAATTACATGATTGGTTTTTCTGGCCTGGTGGCCCCCAGTCCTAAACCATCTTATTGGCATAAACTATTAGATGTGGCCTGAGCCATCCCCATGGCCCCCTTGCAGCCATGAATCACAGAGACACTCCAATCCCTTGGGAAACCCCAAGGGTTTAGATTACCCCCAGGAACTGGGGGCAAAAGCCAGTCAGAGTATAAGACACAGCTGGAGTGGCAGCCTGGTGAGGTGAATGGGAGGCTACCTCCACAGCTCACCCAGGGGGTATGAAAGGAGGTGTTAAGTAATCTTACAGCATTCCTTAGTGGGTATCAAATGAGGTGATAGTCTGCTCCCACTCACCAGTGGGGAAGGCAGGGGGAGTGGAAATATGCTGGGGGAGAAGAACCTCCAGCCCCAAAGCTGCTCACACACCAGTTAGAAACAGCAAAGCTCAGGCTCCTGGTCCTCCTGTGTATCCTGGTTGGAGTGAGCAGCAGTGTGATTCCTAAACCTTCTTTCTGTGTCTCCAGGGCTACAAAGATCTATACTCCAGGTCGGAAAGAGCAAGGGGAACCCATGACTCCTCGCCGCACGCCAGCCCGCTTTGGTCTATGAGCTGAGGCTGTCCCTGCAGAGGATGGGAGCCAGGTATTGAGTGGCTGGAGTGCCCTGGGCCTGCTGACAAAACCCTTTCATCTGTGTGCTTTCATCTTTGTATGTCACCGCCTCCGAGGGAGGCTCCTGCCGACCGCTAGGCTCTGCCAGGGCGGAAGTAGGATTCCTCAGTGCAGCCTCTGGGCCGCAGAGCAGCTGAGAAGCTGCGAGAGGTGGCTGGACCCATCACATCCAGATAAACTGTCCCAGGACACTTGGTGTATAAATGACTTGGCCATTGACTATGTTTTTTAAAATTCTTGTGTAAAGCAGCAAAACAGATCTAGAGGGAATTGTAATTTGGTTATAATTCAGGATTTGGAAATAAATTTATTATTTGTAAAATGTTACTGCATTTTTGACTGTTCCATTTTCCCTCACCACCCTAAGTCACATAATAAAGAGAAGATAGGCAGGACGCCAACCTGACTTTATTTGGATGGATCCTGCTAGAACCTTAGTTCATCTTGCTTCTGTTCTCCAGGCAGTGACACTTAGAGGAGGGGTTGGCAGAGTGGGATACCGCTGACAGGGAAGGAGAATGATCTGGGCCACCAGCACCCAGCTCTGCGAGTGCCAAGCTGTTCTAAGGCTGGTGGGTGGCTGGGAAGAGAGGGAGGTGAGCATCTGTGCATCTTTTGCCCCTCCCTGGGTGGGTTGGCCATTGCTCAGAATGGCAGAAGTTTCTACTCTTTGCATGTGTGAGGGTTGTGTATTGATGGAAAATAGTGTAAAATGCTGCTTATTGATTTTCACATAAAAGATGATCTTATGCTAGAATCACTAGTCTTGTTAAGCAGCCTCGTAAGTCTGCTGAGGTACCTGAGTATTTGGTCCTTATTTTGTGATTCCCTCGGGTTGGGCTTCTGCCACATGTGCTGCTTGCGAGGTTCTGTGTTGGGGCTGCGTCACTGACAGGCTCAGGGCTAAGAAGCACCTGGGTACTGGCCAGTGCTCAGCAAGAGCCCCTTGGCGCTTGGCTCACGCTGCTGACTTAGTTCCACTCCCTTCCTCACTCTGTTCCCGGGATTTGAATTTCCATCTGTTATAGCTCAATATAAGTTAACATTTAAGTCAGTTTTAGGGATGAGTTTGGAAGCCAGGCTTTACCAGCAGCACCAGCTACACCTGTACTTCCGTTCTTTTTTTACCTCTAACCGTCTTTATTGGGAATGCAGGTGGAAACTAACTTCGTGGCTCTGGCGTGAAGAGAGGGCTTCTGGCTGCTTCCCTGGGAAGGCTTCTGTCTTGGTCCTGGGTTGAAGGGCTAGCAGAAGTTGTCTATCTGCTCTGTGGAGAGAAGTAAGCTGGATATGTAGTCTATTTACAGACCCGGGCTTGGGCTGCAGTAGAACAGGAAAAAGACAGGTTCTAATTCATGGTTTTATTATTAACAGCCTGTGACTGGTCACAAACTCACCTTCAGTTTCTTTAGATAAGAAACATGAGGCCAGAGAGGTTATGGAAACCATGGCTCCAATCCCACCTTCTAGTTTAAAAGCAAGAACACCTGGCGAGGGACACTTGGCACACATGGGTGCCACCAGGTGAATGAGAGGCTCCTTAGCCCCAGGGACTCTACCGGAATCTGCCTAAGAATCTGTACCTGTGTCTCCAATGTTTTCTTTTTAGTTGGCAGATCCTGTCCATTGAGATCCACCTTTAAGTTCCTTTTAGCTTTAATACTCTGATTCATACCATCATTCCCTTGGATGATAACCTACTCTCTTTCTAGAGGTACAAAAACATTTTTGTGATGACAGCCCTGCAGTGGATTCCTGAGACTGGCTTTCAGATTCTTGCTGTGAGGGAACTGAGGCCATTGCACTGAGCATCTTTACAGGGGTCCCTGCCTGTACTCAGTCACCTCCATCTGTCCTTTAGCGCCTAGTTGGCAGTAACAGGGTGCTTTAGACACTGGAAATGTCAACTGTTGAAGGTCTCAGGCTGAGATAGGGAACTCATTCTGGGGACCCCCAGAGCTCGCTCACCACCAGGAAGCTTCCTCCTCAGTTGGGCTACGCAGAGGAGGCTCAAAAGGCAAGTGTGTATGTGGCAACCTGGTGGTGCAGGGAGCTCCCTCTTCTCTTGGGGAAGGAGCAGGTGGAGGGGCCTGTTTGCTCGGGGTTCCTTTAGCTCAGGGGGGAGAATTAGACTCCAGGTGGGTAGAAGAGGATCTGTTACACAGGATTCTACTGGCACCAGGTATCAGAATCGGAGTGACATCCTCCCACTGGGTGGCTGAAGCACTTATTTATAATCCCCTCGGCTAAGTCCTAGCTTTGTAATAATTTTTTCTTTTTTGTTATTTTTAGAGAAGTTTCAGGTACACAGCAAAATTAACCAGGAGGCACAGAGGTTTCTCTTGCTCCCGCACATGCACAGCCTCTCCCATTGTCATTGCCCCCCACAAGAGTGGTATATTTGGTACCGTAGGTGAACCTATACATCGCTATTCCCCCAAAGTCCGCAGTTTACATTAGGAGTCACTCTCAGTGTTGCACATTTGGACAAATGTGTAATGACGTGTCCATCATTAAGTATCATACAGAGGCCATTTAAAAAAATATCAGCTGTTCAAAGTACTTTTTTGGAACTAACTTCTTTGGTTATTGCTTAAAGAATTAGAGGCAGGCGCCCTGGCTGGTGTGGCGCAGTGGTTAGAGTGTCAGCCTTCGCACTGAAGGGCCATGGGTTTGATTCCCAATCAAGGGCACGTACCTGGGTTGCAGGTTCGATTCCCTGGCCCCTGTTGGAGTGCATGAGGGAGCCAACCAATCTACGTGTCTCTCTCACATCGATGTCTCTCTCTCTCTCTCTCTCTCCCTCTCTTCCTCCCACTCTAAAAAAAGTCAATGGAAAAAATACCAAGTGAGGATTAACAAAACAGACAACAACAACAAAAAGAATTATAGGCAGGCGACACTCAGCTTCCCTGTCCCTTCTCCTGTCTTTAGAGGAACTACATTTCTCTAAGTCCAACCCCTCTGCTCCATCAGGTTTCCTGTCTGAAGGCCAGATGGCTGGGTGACATATCAATGTTTTTCTGGCTCTGCTGCCCCTTTGTTCCCCATAACTCGCTTGCCACCTGCTTGGCTCTGGTGTAATCCCCCCACAGGAAGTGAAAGACAACTTTGAGAAAAATGTACGACATTCAAAGTATCCAGGTAGTGTCACTTTCACCACCATATATGAAACCTTTTTGTAAGTTATAGACAAAATGCCTTCTTAGTAGACTGTCCTGGGGATTTTAATGACACTGATATTTGTTTAAATCAATGGTCCACAGGCTGGAGCTCGGAAGCCATTATTAGCAGCAGATTCTTCAGTCTTTGTTTCCTCTCAAAAATATATCCTCATGCTAAGTCAAATGGGGGTACCCAGTCAAAAGAGCATAAACAGACCACACCCATCACCCTGCCTCACACTGTGTTTCTGGAATTTGCCGTTCCCGAGTCCTGGCAGGGGCATCCTATGTGGCTATAAGCAGTGACTTTTCTTGGCTTTTGTTTGGCTGGGGAGGGAGGCAAGAATATTTAAGAATTGCTACCAACTACTGGGTTTCTTCCTTCACTTTTCCTTTCCCCCCACCCAGAAATGCAAGCTCTTTTCATTTCATTAAATACATCTTTGTTGATTTCAGAGAGAGGAAGGGAGAGGGAGAGAGAGAGAGAGAAACATCAGTGATGAGTCATTGATCGGCTGCCTCCTGCACACCCCCAGCTTGGGATCGAGCCCACAACCCGGGCATGTGCCCTGACGGGGAATCGAACCCTGATTGCCTGGATCCTAGGTCGATGCTCAACCGCTGAGCCATGCCCGGCTAGGCTCGTTCATTTCCTTCTCTTACTTTACCTTAGTAACTATTTCTCTCAATTTCCTACAGACTAGAAATACAAATTCTAGACATGTACTCAGTTTAACAAAATCCTACCACAATAAAACAGTTTAGCTGTCCTTGGAGTTTGCTCTAATGGAATTTTATGTGCATTGAGCTGGCTGGGGAGAAAAATAAAATTGTTAAAAGGAGGAATGAAATGAGGCCAGGGGAAAGCAGATGGCTATCTCCCCTGCTCCACTTGGAAAATGCATCACTCATTTCTCCTCCTTTCTTTTGGGCCTCAGGATTACTTTCCTCTTTGAGGTTTTTAGATTTTTTTTTTCTTCTTAAATTCCAGACAGAGGTGGAAAGAATAAAAAAGGAGCTAATTATCTCTTGTTGGTTTATAAACTAATCCAGAAGCTTGCTTTGGGAATGACAACTCCTGTACATGTGGAAGAGCCCTATGCTCATTAGAATCTAGAGAAAGCAGGATGAACACACTTCTGGGGGCTCACCGAGACTGCTGTGCTCATGTCTCTATTTTAGGGTTTGGGCCTGGAGATGGTAGCATGGTTCGAAGGTTCACTACACTGCAGGAAGTGGACAACACTCAGTAAATGTTAGCATATTGCAAAACAAGCTGGGGCCTCGATATGTTCTCGTAAGAGCTGATCCAGGTCGAGAGAGAGGGATGGGAACTCACTGTCCTCAGAAAAACGTGTGGAAATGATGCTCAGAGGAAGGCGCTGATTCTAGCAATATGAGGAACCCGAGGGAGCAGGGAGGAAGCCACAGTTTTGATTTGAGGATAAATTAATGAGGTGATTCCTCAAGGACTGGCCTTGTGGCCAGGCAGCTCTGTTGCAGTGTGACTTCCCTCTGGGGTAAGTGGCAGGAAAGTTAGCTGTGCAAGAGACAGGGTGCTCTTGTGTGGTTTCCAGAACACAGTACAGATGCTGATTCTGCCTACTCCCCTATTGTCCCCACAATTCCAACTGGTCACGGTAAGGGACAGATCTGAGACATGAGCACTTGTGTAGCAGCAAAGGTTCTTAGATCAGAACAACCAGCCTTGTCTACAGACAAGGAGACAATGATCTCTGGTCCCAAGTTGTTAAGAAAAAGATCTGTTTTCCTTTCTCCTTCAAATTCCCAATCCAGTAATCTCTTGAAAAACATCGAGCTGTTCTTTATTTTGACCCAATGGGACTAAGACAACATCATAGTAAGTAGCAAAAGACAAATGGTGGACATACCTGAGCAGTGCGGAGTCCTGACAACCTTGGTGACATCCACTCTTTGGCTCAGGCCCTGGGTTGTCCCCCTCCAGCTCCAGGTGCCACACGCTTTCGCCCTCTGCATGGGCTCCGTTTTGCTGGTGCACAGCGTTTTACTGCATAACCTCGGGTGTCCGGATTTCAGCTTCTTATCCTCTATCTCTGTCTTCAGCTTCTTGTTTTCCTGCTGCAGATGGACCATTACATTGTGGAGGTGGCTGGGGAAGGAGAGGGAAGGACAGGTGGGTGTTTGGTGTGTGTCAGCTCCTTGGTTCCCCACTGGAAAGGACAGATCAAGGCACCACAGGAAGGAGTGACCTCACACACATTCTGTGGAAATGGAGGCCTCTGTGTGTCCCCTGGAAGAGGCCCCGTCCTGGGGTTAGGGTGGACTCTTGACCCACTGAGTCACCTCAGCTCTGGCTCTGTTTTCTTATCTGTTAGATGGGGACAACTGAATTTGACAGATGATAGAAATTTGACTGTAAGGGCCAGAGGGCTGTTACAAACAAGTCTGATCACATGTCCTGGGTTTCTCATGGCTATGCCTAGTAAACACTCTCACTGGGTTCTGATGCCAAAGTCCAAGTTCTTTCATGTCCATTTGCTGAAAGGTTGAAACCACGGGGATCTCTTTTGAGAGCTCAGGCAAGTAACTTATCCCCATTTTACAGATGAGAAAATGGAGGCTGTAACATAGGTGCGGGGGAAGGTAACTCAGCATATTTCCTGTGGCTCAGTTAACAGCAGCTATTCATATCAACAGTTCTATTTCTCCAAATCGATGCTGAGGGCAGTGGTGACAGTGGGCTCTGGAGCCAGACTTCCCAAGTTGGGACGCTGTCACTGCCACTTGCTGGTTGTAAGACCATGGGCAAGTTATTTAGCTTCTGAGTCCCTCTTTCCTAATCCATAAATGGGGATTATAACTGCACCTAACTGGTGAGGTCTTATGAAGATTAAATATGTTAATACATGTAAAGCACTAGGAACAGTGTCTCACATGTGTACATAATAAATATCGGTGGAGCTATTACTATTATTCAAAGATGGTTTTCCTTCAAATAGGCTCAAGTACACTCAAGAACGAGTTCTTGCCTGGCCAGGGTGGCTCAGTGGTTGAGCACTGACCTAGCATCCAGGAGATCACGGTTCGATTCCCAGTCCGGGTACATGCCCGGGTTGCGGGCTCGAGCCCCAGTGGGGAGCTTGTAGGAGGCAGCTGATCAATGACTCTCTCTCATCATTGATGTTTCTATCTCTCCCTCTCTCCCTTGCTCTCTCTGAAATCAATAAAGATATATTAAAAAAAAAAAGAAAAAAAGAATGAGTTCTTGCTCTAGCCGGTTTTGCTCGGTGGTTAGAGCATCGACCTGCATGGAGTGAAGTCTCAGGTTCGATGCCAGTTAAGGGCATGGACCTGGGTTGCAGGCTCAATCCCTGGCCCAAGTCGGGGCACGTTAGGGAGGCAACCAGTTGATGTATCTATCTCACACTGATGCTTCTCTCTCTCTCCCCCCCTTCACTCTCTCTGAAAAGCAATGGAAAAAATATCCTCAGGTGAGGATTAAAAAAAAAAAGAATTCTTTATGAAACTGAACTCTCTGGAACTTGGCACAGTATAAGAAAAAGCCTGAAGTTCTCTGTTACCCTCAGATTCTGACACTTTTTCTTTTAGTTAAACCCTTTCAGAAAATAGTTTTGTCCTAGTAAAAAATTTTTCTTTCTTTTTTTTTTTCTAAAGGGAATCAAATAAAGAATCATCCTCAACTTCTTCTCTGGGCATATGCTTTGCCCTCTTGCTCTCCATAAACCTGGCTGGAGTTGAAGACACCCCTTCCCTTGCAGCCCCTCATGTCGTCGCCATACTCCACATGCCACTGGGCTTGCGGTGGCATCACCATGCCCTCATTCCCTGGCTCTCCGCCACTCTCCCAGGTCCCCTCCTGTCAGCATCCCCGATGCCTCCAACACGCCATACTTCCTCTTCAGATCATGGCCTCGCAGGTCCTACCTCTTTGTTCCAATGCCCTTGTCCTCTCTTTCCACTCGGCCACCCCTCTCTAGCCAGAGCCCGGAGCTGAGCTTTCCACAGATGGGCTCTAAGTGTGCGGAGATACCGCCACCTTTGGTGCAGGCTGTGGGGCAGCCACTGACTGGTCAACTTGGTCAAAGCAACCCCATCCCAGACCCTCCAAGTACACCAAACAAATGTGGTCATTTTCTAACAGAGACTGGGAAGCACTGCCCTAAAGCTCACCATTTACCTATTACTATAACACCTCTGAAATCTCCATTTCATCATCTGTATCTTTACCTCTATTCCCGAACTTGCAACACTCCTCTCCCACCACACTCTCTGCTGACAAAGCTTTGACCATGAATGTGAAGTGAGGCCACAGGGAAGGGTGAAGCAACAACTAGAAGGAACTAGGTCCCCAAATGACCCCATGGGACAGAGGAACCCCATCAACCTGGACTTCTTACCTCCTAGAGTTGTTTCTTCTAGGTTCTCTGTTTCTCCACTTGGAGATCTTTGTTACAGCAGCTTAGCCCCTACCCTAACTAATACAGTCTGCTTTCAGTGCCTGTTTCCTTCTCTGTATTTCTGACCTCTGAGAATCACAGAAAGTGACAGTGGGAAGGCACATGGAGACTATTAACCCCCTCTTATTGTTGTTGAAGGAACTACAGCCCAAAGAGGTAAAGTGATGTGAACAAGGTCACACAGGTGCCGTTAGGACTTGGGGTCTTTCCAAAGTCCCAGGCCCTTCCTGGAGTCTGATCCACATATCCAGTGAGAAGGCCAGTGCTGGCTCCTGGCTGAGCCTTCTCCTGAGGGCCCAAGCAGCAGCCAGGGTGGTACGGGGTGACTTACTCCTTTTCGCCAGTCAGCTTGGCGATATATTTGACCTGTTCACGGAGCTTTTCTCCTAGCTGCTCATTGGCGATCCTGTAATAATATCCACAAGAGAAAAGAGTTCCCAGACCCCTGTGAGCAAGAACACGGGCTGGCTAAATGGGACACTGGGTGTTCTCAGCAAGGCTTCTGCTGGGCCTCAGGCCTCTTCTTATCACCCAGTCCCCAGAGCTGGAACCTTCCTGGAACCTGGACATGAAGAAGACTCTCCATACTCAACTCCTGTGCAAATTCCCTGTGATCCCAGGTGAGTTTAACGGATCCAGGCGGTGAAGCCAGCCCCAGGCTGAGAAGAGGAAATCTGACCCTCAGTGAAGGGCCTATCAGAGCTGCTCCACTTATAAGTCAGCAGGGCCTTCCTTCTATCTTATCCCCAAGCCTTGGGGGTGGGCTGAGACTGGAGCAGCGTCCCAGAAGGGCAGTGTGTGTGAGTGTGAATGTGTGTGTGTTCTTCTGTACACGTATGGGTCCTTAGTTCAGCCCAGGCCTTGGGGCCCTGCCTTATTTTTCCTTCCTAACTTACTTGTGCTCTTTTGCCCACTGCTCCATGTTGGTCATGATCTTGTCATTCTCTCGATGCAGCCTACAGGTGTCTTTGGGCACACACCGCTGGGTCGGGCAACAGGGCTTTGGTACAAGAAGAAAATGAGATTGTAAGGGGTGGGAGCATAAGCCAGTCACCTCCCCACTCTCAGATCAGGCCTCTTTTCCTGTGAGGAGAAACACTGCCTCTGCCGTCTGGCCCGGAGGCGAGGGTTGGAACTGCCACAGCAGGACTCCACCTCCGGCAGTGCAGGTTGCCTCCACACAAAGGTCACATCTCTGAGCACAATGCAAACGTGTACACTTACAATAATGATTTTTCAGGCCAAGGGCACTGAAGTGGTTTGTTCTAAAAAAGCAGTATGTTAAGCCAACTTTTTAATATGGAAGAAGAAATATCTTGAGGAAGAGATGCCTTTTTTCTAATTGGAACAAAGGCCTTGTGGCCACCCCAAGGTATCCTGCGGCTGCCTGCCATGAATTTCGCTGCTCAGGGTGCCAGGCAGTGGGCATGCTGAGGATCTCTGTGGAGGGTAAATAAGTCAGGATGGACTCTGGAGGGCAACTGCCCAGTAGATTATCTAAGTCAGTAGTGACTTCTTTCTCCCCCGAAGTGGGGCTTTTGTTTTGCTCAATATCTCTATCAACAAAGCCACAGGAAGATGGTTAGGTTGAAACAGATGTTATGGGCCTAGAGCACGCAGACCCTGCTTTGTACTACATAGAGCACATGTCTTTCCTTGTTCTCAGGCACTTCCAGACCCCACCAAGGGCTGTCTGGCACCCAGGTGGTTGTGGGATGTGCTGGGAGGAACTGGGAAGTGACCAGAAGCCGAGGAGCACCTACCTCCTTCTCGTCGGCGAGGAGGTTCTCTTTCAGGGTGGCCATTTCCTCCTGGAAGGCCCGGAGCTGCTCTTCTTTGGCGGCCAACATCTTGAGGTCACACTGGTGCTGCTTCTGCCATTGCAGCACTTGGTTGCTCATCTCCTCCAGCCTCTTGTCGAAGGCGTGTACCTGCTCAGGAGCACAGAGTGGGAAGGAGACCCCAGCTTGCTGCCCTGACCCCAGAGACCCATGACTAGGTCAGAGGACCTTTTCTCTGCTTTGGGATATTTGTTAGGGGG